ATTTAGGTTTAATTAACTCAGAACCTTTTAACCTCCGAATTTTCAAAATTCTCGCTTGCAAAAATAATTCTCGCTATATTTCCAACTTAAAGGAAATTTTAAGAGGATTTAATGTGATATATAGGGATCAAGAATGTTTTAGTTAGATATCTGGGTTTTACTGTGATTAAGGTGGATTTGGAATGTCTGGGATCGCGATCCCGCCCAGCCCTAATTTAAGATATCTATGCAAAATTTTATGTACTCATTTATCTAAATAATGAAGTCAATCAAAACTTATGCTGAAATAATTACCCTGGGTAATTATTGTTTATATTGCTCGCTGAAGGGCATAATTATTAGGGCGAAGGTATGAGAGATGTTAATTGAGAGAGGTTAATTATTGAGAGAGATTAATTATTTCCGCTTATACGGTTTCGTCTTTACAAATTAAAGTTTTTACTTGATATTGTAAAAATAATAGCTATTAACAAAGCAAATTCAATTTTTGTTAATGCAGCACGTTTAAAGTGCCCAACAGATTTTGTAAATGCGTAATCTGACCATTTAATCATTCTAAAAATTAAAAAAAAGATTTTCATATCCTCTTAATCAAAAATTTTTTTGAAAATTGTTTTAGAATTTTCTTAATAAAAATTTATTTACTTATCATCATGTGAAAATACACTATTCTGCATAATACCGAGAGCAGGCATGACACAATCTTTACGTGTCCAAGTTTCAGAACCTAATTCCCAAGCCAAGTAGGAGCTTGTAAATGATGTAAACACATAGTAAGCCTGTCTTATTGTTAGTTGTGCAACCTATTTTATAAAACATAAAAATAATTTTTGCATTAATTGAGCTTTTTTGCCTCTTGTCCTTTAAATAAGTTTTATTACATCCGTTATACCAGACTTGTGCCGAACTTGAATTTAAAAGCAAAATTAAATCCAGAAAACTAAATAGCAAAAGAGGCAAAAATTCACACTTAATAAAAACAATTTTCAAATCATTTCGTGGCCGGGTTTGAGTCGGGGATAATTGTGAGAAAGAACGAGTTCAAGGTGCATTTTAGTCAATATATAGTTAAACGAGGAATTTATTCGAAATACATATATCATAAAAGTGGATGGGATTAATTCAGAACCCTCTGAAGAAATTTTCTTTGCATGCCACCTACAAAGATTCGTACTCATTCACTTGTAACAATACCTGATCAGATAAAGTCAATTTTTCAAAAACGGGTAAAGATTTAGCTATACCAAAACACAAAAGTCTGCCAACTAAAATGCATTTTTGAATTCTACTACTAAACAACCCTTCATTTTCCATTGAAGATTCCCAACTTATTAACTCATCAAGCGGTATTGGTCTTGGATTTGGCTTTAAAACAAAATTATTTTCATTAAAAATTAAATTAAAATTTACCGAGAAAGTATCAACTAAACGGAAAATATTAAAATTAGATAATATTATTTCTTCAAACAAAATCGGCCCTTTAAGGAATATATCATCCAAATCATTAAATGCATGCATAATACGTTTTTTGGCTTCAATAATTGGTAAAATGAAGTCTATTTGGTTTTGATCTTCGACGGATAAGTCGACAATTGGCTGATTTGAAAGCTTAAGATAGTGTTGTTTAGATTCATTTGAACCCGATCACCCGCTTTAATCTCGTTTAATCGGATTTGAGTACCTAGGCCTCCTCAAAAAATAACTGGATGCCTTATCGATAAAAGTAAAATTATACCGTAACCTTTCCGATCCCCACTTAAAAATTAGACTTACTTTAATAATTCCATTTCTTTGTCCTTCCATCGCTTCCCGGCATATGTCTTGTCGTACATATCCAACATCTAAATTCCTTTTCAGATTATTTTTAAATATTTTGACAAACCCAATCTTCTCATTCCAACAGAAAAACACTTTTCAAGTCTACATTTTTTACAATCTGACAAATTTGTTTCGGATTTTTCGTTTTTATTCACATTTGAAAATTGCTCTTGCAAACATTTATAATTACATTCACTATATCTATATTTATTTTCGTTTTCAAGATAACGCCTTTCGAGAAAGAATTTTTTAATTATAATGAAAAATAAAAAATACCTGAAAAAAGCCCCACAAGCCCTACATGTACAAACACCATAATGATAACAAATATTCTCTTTTGATCCACAAACTTTGCACTGTTTAATTAAGTTTCTTTTCATTTTTAAAATAAAAGGATATTTTTTCTGAATAAAAGTAAACTGTAAATAACCGAAAAGTATTGTGACAATGATTAATTGACAGAAATGAAAATAGGGGAATTTTAAAATATTTTTAGATGTGAGGCGATAACGGAAATGTCCCAAAAGATGATATTCCTATGGCGTATGTACCCAGCTCTGCTTTCTAAAACCGGTATTGTGATAATTTCAGAAGCTGTATTTCATGACATGTTGACTCCGGGATTCGGGTGGAACATGAATGGATAATATTATTACGGGATATTTGTATAGATTAAGGGGATAACGAGTGATAACAGGCGAATGAGATGGATATCAAGGGATTAATTGGGATATCATCGAATTAGGTATAGCGTCGAAAGGTATTTATGAAAAAAGGGGGAAAGTAAAATGCGGGGATGTAAACGCATAGAACCAAAAAATATAAATAAATATGAGATGCATATGAGAATTATTTTATTTTAATAGAAAGAATTTAATTTTAAATTTTCAAAAAATTATCAGCTAAACAAATAAATTTTCTAAAAAGATATTAGAAAATAAAATACCAAGCTTTTATTTTTAAGCCATGGTTCTGTGAGCCATCAGCTTCTTATTGTTGGCAAACTTGTTGGTATATTAAATATAAAAAATTGAGATACGAGAATGATTTTGTTGGCTTAGAAATTATTTAATTTTAGTTTTTTTTGAAATTATCAATTAAACAAATATAATTTTCTAACAAAGTATAATGAGATATTTTAAAGGCAAATTTTATTATCTTTATTGGACAAGTTTTATAATCCAGAAATTATTTGAAAGTTGTATTTAGTTAAATATCATTGGTGTTGCCAAGGTGATTTTAAAGTGCCGAAGAGTATTTTATAAAGCGAACGGCGAAATACTAAAGTCCAAAAAGGGCGAAATTCAGCAAATAAGAGAGGCAAAACCTGCCTAAATCTCTCTATATACTCTTAAATCCTAAAAATCCTTGATTCGTCTCCCTTGTGTCATCCATCTTGATTCAACCTAGTCCTTATTAATACCCCGGCTCCATATTACAAACACTCACATTTTCCAACTTCTTAAAAGTTGTAATTTTATCAAAGTATTCAAAAATTCCGAAATTTATTTAGTGTAAGAAATAAAAATTATTTAACGTGGAATTAATAATTTAAAATATTTTTAAAAATATTAAATTTATCTTTATTTTTCCCCAAATATATTCTACTATTCTTTTTCCATTTATTTAAAATTCAATTTTCTTCTTGTTGAAGTAAGTTCTTATAAAGGCCATAACTGCGATTGCTAGATCTGGAGCTTTTTCTTTCAATGCCATAAATGATTGGCGAATAAATACACAAATTGACGACCATATACCCAACTCGGAGAAAAAAACACAAACAATCACTGAAAATATAAATAAAAATTGAATAAAAATATTTTTTTAATTAATCAGTCTTCTTTTTTGGATAATCATGGGAGTTTTATAGCCGAAAGTTGATTTTAAGTACTGTTCAAAAGATGGTTTTGAAAGAAGTGTGTCTAAAATTTGGGGTTATTACTTAGTTCCCACCAAATCTAAAAACTAGTAGTTACCGTATTTCCTAAAATAGTACTCCCCCCTGAATTAGTACTCCCCCCTTAAATAGTACTCCCCTTTGGAGGAGGGTTAAAAAATAGTACTCCCCCCTTAAATAGTACTCCCCCTAAAATAGTACTCCCCCCTAAAATATTTTTCCCTATATTTGAAAAAAATTATAGTAAACTCATTAATTATTTTATTGAAATTTACTTATTTAATTATTTTATTTATTCTATGTAGCGTTGTCGGTTTCATTTGATTCTCCGATAACCGAAACCGAACAGCTTTCGGTTAACCGAAAACGAACCGAAATTTTAACCATAAATTTGTCGACGATTAAAGAGATATAATGTAGTTAATTTGTGGGGTAAAAGTGGATTTGGGAGATATAAAGGGATTATATCAGGTGGTAAATATGTTTTGGATTGATCATGTGGGGTCTAAAAGATATCATTGGATTAATGTTTCATAAAGGAAATTGAGGGAATAATGAAGGATGTCATATTAGGTGATTTTGGTTGTTAAGTGATAAAGATATGAAATTGAATCATAAATCCTCCTTAATCCACCGATATTTCTTCGTTATTTCTAATTCAAATCCTCAGATATCCAACACACTGGTATCCAACTCACATCATTTGATCCCTTGTTATCACGCCGAAATATGGATATCATGTGATTCGTAGGGATATCGGAAGAACAAAAGTGATGTGGAGGATATCGGTGATTAGTGCTGATAAATCCCTAGACACAGAGATTAGGACATCTCTAAACACAGGATTACACTGGACACAGCTAATCGCTATACACAGGAGATTAGGAAATCTGCTGATAAATCCCCCTGAAGGATATCTAGAAAATTTGACGCATATCAAATGTATAGTCTTAATTGCATAAATCCCCTTATATCCCTCGATATCACACAAATTCACTCATCACTCCAAATCCACCGGATCCGGCATTTTTAAATAAAACTCTGACATTTAGAATTTTCAAATAAATTTTCCTATAATAAATCATGGAAGAGGGTTGAAAAATAGTACTCCCCCCTGAATTAGTACTCCCCCCTTAAATAGTACTCCCCTTTGGAGGAGGGTTGAAAAATAGTACTCCCGGGAGTACTATTTTAGGAAATACGGTATATAATTTTGGGATTTTTTAAAAGTCCAAGTCGAATTTTAGTAGAAAAAACAGATTTTAAATTTTATAAAATTTATTTTTTAATTTAAATTACCCAACGCAACAGCCAACAAAATCATTGAACCTTTGTTGCTATCTATAAAATGTAAAATCCATCGTAATTTAGATTCTCTAAAAGTCTCCACATTCGTATTCGTACTACCAGCAGTTCCACCACTAATTGAAGGCTTGCCAGTAAAAAAATGCTAAATTTCTTTTTTTAATTTATATGTATATCTAAAAAATTTTACGTTAAACGCTCCAATCAAAGTAGCAATCAATTTATTATCAGTTAAACTAAAATTTTTAACAAAGTGTTTAACAATGTTGACCACCATGCTACCTAAATTTTTCAACAAGGAAAGTATCTGTTTAATTTAAAAATATTTTTAATTAAAATATATAATTCAGTAATTCACTAAACATTATTTGTTGAAATAATTTCTCGAAGAAAATTAATTTCTGGCGGATTAAAATCGTTAACATCTTCTTCTTTGGCCCTTCTTAAACAATTCATGGAAGGACAACGTTTATAATCCGATACAAAATTTATAAGACATTCTTTGTGCCCAATGGTATGGCAACATTCCATCATGCCTAACGGCAAATTCAAAACACGATTACAGAAGCAATCTCCATTCATATTATTAGTATGATTAATACGAAATTCTAAGTCATTTCCCAAATTATTTAATGAATTCTACAGAAATAAAAAATTAAATTTAAATTAGTATTTTTAAAATTTAAATTAACCCTTAATTCTCTTGAATTTGAAGACATTCTAAATAGAAATAATTTCTGATATAATTATAGAATAATTAAATTATTAATTTAATAAATAAAATTATTTTTAAAAATTGGGTACTTTTCCGTTATACGACCGCAAACTGAGTACCAGTCGACTTTAAACAGCTATAACTTTTTGATGCTTGGTCCAATACAAATGAATTTTATGACATTCAAAAGCCCTCGATAAGCTCATTTTTTTCCAACTTGATGGATCAGGTCTGATCACCAATTAAAGTGTTATAACACGATGACTGTGAAAAACACAAAATAACTTATCGGTTGAACTCTTTAATGAGTGGTCAGACCTGATCTACCCTCTCAGAAAAAGTATGGAGCTTATCTATGGCCTCTGAATGATATAAATTTCATTTGTATTGAACCAAGCATCAAAAAATTATAGCTGTTCAAAGTAGAGTTGGGCGGGATCGGGATCCCGACGTAAAATCGGGATCGGGATTTTGGAATGATGATCCCGATCCCGGTCCCGATCCCGACTGCGGGATCGGGATTGGACGAAATCGGGATCGGGATTCGGAATAATGATCCCGATCCCGGTCCCGATCCCGACTCGGGATCGGGATATAAAAATCGGGATCGGGATTTAGTTAAAAAATTCTTAAAAATTTAAATTTTTATTTACATTGCATATACCTCAATATAATTCCATAATTTTCATCTGCTGTGCTGAAATATTGATTTTAAATCCCAGCGCGCATTTGTTCTTGGCGTATCAGGGATTAAGGAGGAGGGATAAAGTATTAACAATAAGGTGATTCTGATGGATTAAGAGGGATATCGTTGATTAATGAGATATTGGGATCTAGATGGAGATTAGGAATTTGGGTCATCATGAATTTGGGACATCAAGTCTGAAATTCAAAAATTAACCATCCGTCCGACTCTACAAAAATCTCCAATATCCGCCAGAATCTAGGATATCCATTATCACTGATATCTTTCTTAATCCGTCGATAGTTTTATAAATGAGTCTCTTCTTATTCACCGCCGGAGGCAAAAATTTTGAAAAATTTCGAAGATTCTCAAGCCAAAATCTTCATTTTTAGCGCCGCAGGCGAAAATTTTGAAAATTTTGGATGGCGTAGAAGCCAAATTGCTTTCTTTTCAGCTCATTAATATATATTTTCATTAATTTATAAAATCCCGATTTCATCGGGATCCGATTGCTAATCCCGATCCCGGTCCCGATCCCGGCTCGGGATCGGGATCAGCCAAAACCGGGATCGGGATATGTCTTTCGGGTTCGGGATCAGAAAAATCGGGATCGGGATTCAAAAAAACCGGGATAATCCCGCCCGATCCCGACCGGGATCCCGATCCCGCCCAACTCTAGTTCAAAGTTGGCTGTCACTAAGTTTGCGGTCGTATAACGGAAAAGTACCAAAAATTGTTTTAATTTTTATTTAAAAATAAAATTACAATTAAATTACAAAAGATATTATTATAAATAACCTAATATTTATCGAATTATCTATTCTATGTATATTTAAAAAAATTAAAGAATTTTTTAAATTTAAATAAGTTAAAATAATTTTTATTAATATTTAAAGTAATTTGAGGAAATAAAATTATTAAAAAGTTTTAATTAAAAAAATATTCTTTATATTTTTAAATGGATTTAAAATAAAAATAAAACATTTACTTTATTAGGAGATATTTGTAGAATAAAAAGAAATGTTGGGAGAGAGATGTGAGTATTTTATTTAAATAAATTTTTGATTAAATTTTTAGATAATAAAGGAAAACAAATCTTTATTTTATCCAATCAGGAGGAATTAATGTATAGTAATTAGTTTAATACAAATAAAATTAAATTAAAGAAAATTTTATTTTGAACAATTGTTTTGTAAATAATGAGAAAATGTTTTTATTTTTACAATTTCTTTGATCTTTCAACTTTTTAAAAATATTTTCTCTCTTTCTAGCTAAAAATGTTAATTTAATGTATTTCTTTGTTTTAACAATTTATATATTTTTTTATTTAAAGGAGAAAGCAAAAAGTTTTTTTAGTAGCAAAAACATCCTTTTTTCTTTTAATATTTTTATTTCAAAAAAAGCTTTTATCTGATCATCCACCTGCAATTTGTAGACAAAAATATTTTGTTGAATGATTAATAGTTTGGATTGGAATTTTTGAATATTTACAAAAATAGATAAATTCTTTAAAAAACATACTAGGAGTTAATTACCTAATTTTATGCTTTTTTTATTACAAAATCCTTTAAATGAGAATTTATCATATCTCAAGTAGGGTTGCCGTTTTCGAGTCGAGCCGACGGTCGAGGCGATTTTTTAGGGCTTGTTTTTATTGAGTCGGGCATGTACGAGTCTTTTTCTGGCCAAAATATCTTAGGCCCGACTCTATCCTTCGGTATGAGTCGGTCTTTGGCAACCCTATATCTTAGGGTCGGACACTCAAATCTAGGCTCCGTCCATTCAAAAGCCATTTTTAGTAAGATATGGATTAAATTTTCACCGGAAGTTCCGGTGTTTTTTGGTTCCGGTTCTGGGCAAGAACTTAGAAAAGTCCCGGTTCCGGAATTCAAATTGGATCCGGTCCCAGTCAAAATTTCGGTTCAGGTGAAATACTAATATGGATGCTAAGACGTAATAAAACCATCGAAAATTTAAGAAAACCCCAATCGTAAAAATAGTTAGAAAATTTATTTTTAGATTCAACATAAAAGGAAATACAAACACAATAATAAATAGGTAGGTATACTACAAGCGAAAAACTTTGTTAAATCACCTAAATATCACTAAAACGATCCTTCTTATTTACAGATTTCTTTATTCTTCTCATTCTCCCCTAACTTTGTGCTGCAATTCGACATGTTCCTTTATATTTTGTACCGTTCTCTACTGTATAATTCATACAGTACGTCGTCGACAACAATAGCATCAAACAAGAACTCGAGCTTGTGTTCCTCTCGCAAGTGAGTATTTAGCACCTTAAAGGGATAAAAAGTTGAGAAATATTTTTAAAGAAATTAGCACTCACGTAGCCAAGAGTGAAGGCACAAAACACAATAATCACATACAACAGCAAGAGAAGCATTATAGTTATATACAGGAAGATGTCAAGAACCACCATTTCTATACAGACCAGCATCCTAAATTCTTGACGGCCAAGTACTTGTGGTGAGTTGATTGTTTAGATAAACGTGTTGAGAAATTATAAAGGCTTTTATAGTTAACTAAAACTATAAAAACACAATCTAAACATTTTACAATGTTCATCTAAACAATCGCTGTTGCCAATTTTGTCCTCATCACAATAAAATGGGTTTGCTCACTATTCTCATGTATATACTGGCGATGATCTTCATTGTGTATTTTGCGTTCATTACTGGCTACGTAAGTAGACCTAACTCTTGCCTAATTAAGATTTTCTTTATTTTCAGTACACCAATACATATGTTCGCTTCCACTATGAATTAGAAATCATTCCCGATGAAGGCCAACCTTATTACTTCAGAATTGACCGTGCAGGACAGAGCAACGCGATGAAGAGAAAAATTAGAGATGCCCAGTTGGCTAGCGAAGCTGGTACTGCGAATGAAAATACAGATCATGAGGCCTAAATAAATATGCATATATTTGCCTCATTGTTCTAAATTGTAATATTGTTTATTTGTATTTGTGTGTGTGTATTGTATTCGATAAAATGGGGTTATTTCTTTATTTTTGGCTAGTTTCAAAAAAACGGGCAAAAACGACTCAAAATCCTTGCTAGAAAGGGCACATTCTCTATCGAATGAGCCCGGTCTCGACCGTTTTTAGGTCGGACATCTCGCCTTACCTAGTAAGCATAGAAAATTGTCAGTTATTCACATTTTAGAAATATTTTTTTATAATTTTACTTTTGTATAGTATTACCAAACTTAGAACATCTAACCAAATATATATTTCTTAACCTTTCACTCCACATAAAATTAAAGCAAAACCAAAAAAAATAACCAAAACAATTTTCCTATTTTTAAGAGAAAAAGTTATACAACAGCCTAAAATCAAAAGATTGAGAGAAAACTTTTTTTGTCCTTTATTTTTCGCTATTTTTAAATCTCATCCAAATAGGGAGTTTGATTAATTTGTCCATAAGCAGATAAAGCAAGTTTTGCACAAAGTTTTGTTGCCGCCTTAAAATATTTTTATACAAAAATTAATTTTCTTTAAAATTTAATTTTTACTTTTTTAATATCCTCAGCAGTAACACTCTGCACAATATTTACAAACTCTTCTGGTGATTGAGCTGCGCCTTTAGCCATAACTTGAGAAGCTTGATCCAATGCCAACAATTCACTTGAGTCAAACTTGCTTAATGTTTGCAAAGCCAAAGTCTGTTTGGCTGTCTAAATTTTTTTGAAAATAAAAAATTTTTTTAGTCATTTTTAACAGCAAGAAAAGTTTTTTTAATTTAGGAAAAGGAAATAAATAAGATTTAAATTAGAGTAGCATGAGACCGGTTAATGACCTCGCTTATTTTTCTCTGTGGCGTGTCCATCTTTCTCTTTTCCCTTCTCTTTTTGACCCGCCACCGGAAAAAATAAAAGAGATCATTAACCGGTCTCGTGCTACTCTAATTTAAATCAACGCCTAAGGTTCTCCCTCAAATTATGAATGAAAAGTTTAAAGAATTACAATTAATTCCACGTTAAAATTAGGCTAATTAAAATTCAAAAATAAAAACCTGAATAAGTTCCTGATCAACAGTTTTTTCAGCAAGTTCACGAAGCCCTTGAACAGCTGCTTTAACATACGGGAAAATCTAAAAATACCAAATGTCACAAATTTTATTTGTTTTCAGAACCTTTTCGCCTTCCGCAACAAGATAGAAACCAACAAGTCCAATATCTGAATGAGAAATATTCACTTGAGATAGATGGAAAGGATTGTGGTTCGCTGCTTTGAAAAGAGTTCGATGAACAATTGATGGCTGTGCAATATTTTGATAGTTTGTATATTGACCTTAAAAAATATTTCTAAATAAAAATAAAAAATGTGCAAGAGTAAATCAAAAATTTAGATTTTAAAAATAAGAAAATCAGAGCCTTGTAGCAAGGAATTTTCTTAATCTTATGAGAAACATTCTTCAAAATAAAATTGACAAAAAAATAAAATGGGTAATAGTGTCGTCTAGTGACCCATTTTACTAAGGAAACTACACAAATCAATCGTAAATACGAAAATAGTCAAGAGAAAAATTTTTATAAAATATTTTTTAGAATAAATATTATAGTAGAACCTGTTTTTCCAATCAACTGTGCAAGAACAGCTTGAATTGCAACAGCTTTTTCATCTTTAAAGGCGGCTCCCTCACCCACTATTGCAATATGAGCCAACTTTCCAGGTCCGAATTGACGAACTTCGCCACCTAAGAAAGGACTTGGATTGGCTGGATGGCCAGCCCCGTCCGGGACTACACGATGATCGGCCTTAAATTTAAGGATAATCTTATAAAAATATTTAAATTTAACCGCATATTCCAATAAAAGAGAATGGTCAATATTAACGCCAATCAAAGCTGTTTCAGCACTCTTCCAACGAGAAATGACATAAGATTGCAATCTTTTATGTCCAACGTTTGTGTCCGAGCCAATTTCGTAGGATTTACAGAGAAGTTGATTTGCAAGAGAGCCATTCCTATATTTAATTTTATCAGGTTAATGAAATAATGAGATATCCGATAAACAAATTAAACATGCCCTTGGAATCTCTAAAACTTAACAATTTAATTCTAAAATTTTTTGGATGATAGAATCACTGGCTATATCCCAAAAGAAAGGCGGAATCGTTTTTTGTCATTACCTGCAAGGAAAGGAAAAATGAGACGGATGGACACGGACAGACAAAACACGGAAGGACTCGGGTCAGAACAAATACGGACGACTGAACCATGTTTCCTTTGTCCGAGTCCGTCCGTGTTTTGTCTGTCCGTGTCCATCCGTCTCCATTTTTTCTTTCCTTGCAGGTAATGAAAAAACGATTCCGCCCTTTTTTGGGATAGGGTCGAATCACTGATACCTAAAAAAATTTTAAAAACCTGAAAGCAGCTCTATGTAAATTCTCGAAAGTAATATCCTCGGCCGTTTGATGTTCCAAATCGATTTCTAATCCTTTATGAACCTCAAAAATATCCCAAGGCTTAATAGCTGGCTGCACAATTTCCCCAAGAACAGAAAGAGCAATTGGTGCTTGTGTACGATTCTTTAAAAATCTATTAAATTTAAAAAAATAAAACAAACCACGCTCATTTGAACACAAAGCAAATCTTTGGACAATTTCGAAAATAAATTGGCTCCAGTCTGCGCAGTTTGCCAAAGAAGTCGAAGACCCAAATAATTATCAGAATCACTTCCAATACAATTACGTAACATATGGGCAACGCCTCCCTCATCTGGCTGTTGATAGCGTGAACCGGAACGAAAAGCGAAAACAAGTTGAGAAACCGCACCCTCAAAAAGTAAACATTAAGGATAAAATGGATGAGAATATTTAAAGAAAACCTGAAGATCGACAGATGATATTGTCATACCGTTGGGGAGACGTGAAGTTTTCTGTTGAATTGGCTCAACAAGTGGATTTGGCTTTGCATAAGCTGCAGCTACAGAAGCAAGGCCACGACGAGAAATCATTTTTTTACTTTCACTAACCAACAAAACTAAAATTAAAATAAAATTGAAAGAGGCAACAAAAACAATAAATACAACAATAAATTAATTAAGTATGGAACTGGACTAAATCCAGAAAAGAATTGTGGAATAATCCAGGATTTCGTCAGCGGATGGACAATTCATCGGAAATAAAGAGCATAGCCCAAATAGGCGCGCGGCCATAAAGGCGCAAAGCCATAACTTGCTTCGAGATTTCCAAATCCTACCAAATTTAGCATTAAACGATTCCTCTCATAAAGCTAAAGAGATTGGTAACAAGATTGATAAGGGCCAGAAATCAGCAAGTTAGAGCTTTGCGACGTTATGGCCGCGCGCCTACTTGGGCGTCCCGGAAATAAAACATCGTAGAAAACGACAAAACGGTAAAACAAAAAATCCTAAAAAATGGTCAGAAACGAGAAATATGCCAAATGATCCAAAATCTTTATTTCGTAAAATCAAAAAAACGTTAAAAATAAAAAAATACAAAATGTAAAATAAAACAGGAAAAAAAGAAAATATAAATTTTCAAAAAATATTTATAATAGTTACTATGTATGTACACATGTATTTTATTTAAAATTAGTAAATTTAAGATTATTTAAAATTAAAAAAAAATTAAAAATTCATATGTACAAACACGTCTTTCAAAAGAAAATTTTCAAGAAAATCTAATAAACCAATTATTATCTCTAGGTCTATTATAATTTTCAATATCTTCCTTCTTTAAATATTCCTTTACAAAATTAATTGCGTTGATTTGATTTTTAGCCTCAAAACCTTGCAAAACTCCACTTTTTATATTTAAATATTGGCCATTTTCTTCGAAAATTAAATTAATAAATTCAGGATTGAAAACAGAATTGAATTCTGAATATTCAAAGGTGGAAGTGAATAGACGCTGAAGCCAGCAATAAATAAAATTAACTTCCTCCATTGTCTTAGGATTGTTTGGTATTTTAACTAGCTGTCGAGAAGGTCGAAAATAATCTTTAAAAAATATATTTAAATTAGGTATATTTTATAATAAATACGAAAACCATCCCTACTATTATTTATAAGCGTCCTCTGATTTTTAAAAACCACTATAGCTTTTCGAAATGGGGTCAGGCCAAAAAAGCCAAAAATTGGAAATAGGTTATCGACCATGCTCTACACTGGAGGCCGGCGCGGGACGGGATCCCGACAGGGTTTTCCGGGATCCCGAAATGATTTTTTTGATTTTCGGGATCCGGGATTCTTTAGGGATTTATCCCTCGGGATCCCGTCCCGGCATCGGTTAAGAAAAATCCCGACTCGGGATCCCGGAAGTGCGATTTTGCCGGTCTCTACTCTACACTATGGTATTTTATTAAGAAAATTTTTGTGGAAGTTCGAAAGGCTCCCTCGTTAGCTAAATTTCAAAAATATTTTTTAAGCATTTCCCCTTTTATTTTTATAAAAAAATATTTAAAATTAATTAAACCCCACCCCCCTCCCACAAAATTTTTGAAAAAATAAATAAAACCTTTTTTAATTAGTCTAATAGCAAATTCTTGTTCAGGTTCATTAATATATAGAAACAAAGGAATTTGTTTGTATATAATTGTTTGCCACTAAAAAATATTTAAAATTAATTTTAGAAAAATTCTTTTTCTTACATTTTTTTCCCTCAAAGTCTTCACATTATTTAAATTATTAAATAAAAACATTCCAATTTTATAATTAAATTTATTCCACAATTGTAAAGGAAAATATTCTTTTTTGTTTTCTTTTAATTCAATTAGACCAAATTTCCATATTAAATATTCATATTTTTTTAAATCTACCTAAAAAAGTTTTTTTGTTACTTTTCCGTTATACGACCGCAAACTGAGTACCTGCTAACTTTGATTGACTACACCTTTTTGATGCTTGGTCCAATACAAATTAATTTTATATTATTCGAAGGCCCTAAATGAGAGGTATCTTTTTTCCAACTTGATGGATCAGGTCTGATCACTCATTAAAAAGTTATAACTCGATAAATCAGAAAAACATCAAATAACTGGACTTATCGGGTATTAAAAAATTTTTAATGAGTGATCAGATCTGACCTATCCTATCCAAAGGTAATTTATCCTATCAGAGAAATATATAGCTTATCGAGGCCCTCGAATAATATAAAATTTATTTATTTGAATCAAGCAATTAAAAGTTATAAACGATGAAAGTCGGCTTACACTCAGTTTATGGTCGAATAACGGAAAAGTACCAAATTAAAAAATTATTTATTTTAATTTTTAAACTTACAATAGAAATTGAATAAAATTCTTCTTTAGCCAATTTCTCACAATTTTTTTCAATTAATAATTTAAAATAAAAATTAATTTGTTGTAAAATAAATAGTTGATCAAAATTAAGAAATTTAAGAATATCTAGTTTTACTTCCAAAGGTAAATTATTCATTTTATTGTTAGTAAATACAGGGTGGGGCAAAAGTTCGGCGACAAATGTTTTTAATAAAATCTATTGTAAAAAAATTTTATTTAAGATTAAAAAATGATAAAATATAATCAATAGGATATAATAATCATTTTATTAAAGTAATTTCTCAAAATGACCGACCCTGACTGAAATACACGCATCCAAACACTTACGGATGTTACTCACAATGGTCGCGCATTGTTCATCGGTTATTTCGTTCCAGGCTCGCTCCAAACAAATTTCAGTTCCTCCGATGTTGTGTATCGGATTCGGCATAATTTTTGCTCCAGAAATGCCCAGATAGAATAATCCAACGACTTAAATCCAGTGAGTTTGAAGGCCTTAAATCTTTCCCCCAAGAACCAGGAAACAGCTCCCCACAGAGCTGGATTGTCGTTTTGGCTCCATGCGCGGGTGCTCAATCCTGCTGAAGCGAGAATATGTTTTCTCCGTGAAGCTATAATGCCATGGATGCTCAATCCCCCTCAGAATGTCATTTTTTAGACTGTAGCATTAATATTATTAGTCATCACTCTGTTATGGCGACCAGCTGCGACCAGGCGTTTAATCCTGTGACATTTTTGAAGTCTCTTATGCTTCATTCGATTGCTAAGGAAATATGAGCGGCTGATCTTGTAACTCCAAAGTCTAAGCTTCACTCTGACAATTTTTAGGAGGCTCCTCGAGCTCATTCCGAGATCTGAGGCCGTTTTTCACATCGATTGTTCAGAAAAACGAAAAATTCGGCATCTGACGTCCGTTCATGTTTTCAGTCTTACTTCGGTTACCGGCCGGCCACTACTAGGACGGTCCTGAGTATGACCAAGCTCATGATATCGTTTTATTGCTTTGGAAAGCAACATACGACAGATGTCGAGCCGTCTAGCGATGCACATTTTCGAACATTTTCAAAATACAAAGAAATAATAGAAGCACGAGTTTTTAACATTCAGTAAAATTTTTACTTTATGAGATAGAAAAAAATTTTCAAGATAAAATTTGTAGAGCTCGAATCATAGCATATGGGAAATCTAAACAAAAAGCAAAATATAAAGTAAATCTTAAGATAGGACAAAATAAAATTTGTCGCCGAACTTTTGCCCCACCCTGTATGTATTTTCTTTTAAAAAATTAAAAAAATCTCTAAAAATAAAATTAAAAAAAACAAAATATTATTTTAAAAAAATAAATAAATGAAATTTACATACTTTAAATAATTAAATATTTATTAATTTTTAATATTTTAAAAGTATTATTAAAATGTAAAAAAACTTAAATGAGGTTATACATAATTATAACGGTACTTTGTTCAAGCCCCCACCCCTATTTGAATCTCAAATTAATTTCCCTTTTACTATTTTCTGCCTAGGAGTTGTTAAATTTCCTTCTTTATAAATGATTATTTTTGCCGTTAAATTAATTTTTGCGGGTGGCGTCTATTTTTTCCTTCCATAATTAATGATTGACAGTAAAAAAGAAAATTAATCTGAGACTCAAATAGGGATGGGGGCGGGATATGATGGTAACTTATTAACAAATAAATTATATAAAAAATAACAAATTTTTAGTCAGAATTTATTGGACCATTTAATTCTATTAAAGCAGAAGGAACTTCAATATTTTCTTTTTGCATTTCCTACAAATTTTTTTAATTCCAAATTTTTCAAAAAAATAATTTTAAACTAACTTTAATTAATTCTGTAACAAGCCTCAAATCTAATAAACAATCAGGGTCAACTATTGTAATCGCTCTACCCACATTTCCAGCTCGGCCAGTTCTTCCTGTTCTATGGACAAAATCATCAAAAGTTTTTGGCATCTTTAAACAAAAAATAAAAATTTAAAATTTAATTTTAAAGAAAACCTCATAATTAACAACTAATTCAAGTCCAACCAAATTTAAACCTCTAGATATTACACTTGTCGAAACAAGAATGTCACAATCACCTTTCTCAAAGGCAACTAAAGCTTCTTGGCGTTGTCTTTGTGAACGTTCACTTAAAAAATTTTTTTTTATTAATTTCTCTAAAATTTAAACCCGCTCGTTGGAATTGATTTCCATCCTCTAATTGATAATTTTAAAGCCAACCAATTTGTCATACGTCGAGAATTACAAAAAATGGCAACCTTTTAGAAAATCAGAAAATATTTATTAAATAATTTAAAATTTAACCTTTTTACTTAATCTCCTCCAAGTAACTCCATTAACATCTTTATATATTCCTTTACATTTTGGTTTTAATTTTGAAAGAATTTCATCGCATAAAACAGAAAACTTTTGATATTTTGTTGACTTAAAAATAATTTAAAATTTTAGATAATTATTCTTCTAAATTTTGAACAACGGGAAATACACTCACAAGGGAACATTCCGAACTGTGACCAAAAATTTTTTTATAAAAATTATACCATCGTGTAGAGCATGGTCGATAGCCTAACCCTATATATTTCTTTTTTGGCCCTGACCCCCATTTCGAAAAGTTATAGGGCTTCAAAGTTTCCGACTTTTGGAGCGGTTGAGTCGCCCTCACTTTTCTTATTATTTGTCTTCCTAAAGGGAAAAGTGAGACTCCTTTTCTCCATTTTTCCTTTCCTTTTCTTTTCCCATGTTGGTTAAAGAAAGAGAAAAAGAGAAGAGAAAAGGAAAGGAAAAGAGGCATCTCTGCCTCCTCCTCTTTCCTTTTTAATTGACATTAGCCGCAAGGCAGAGATGCCTCTTTTCCTTTTCTTTTCTCTCCTCCTTTTCTCTTTCTTTAACTAATATCTGAAAAGAAAAGGAAAGGAAAAATGGAGAAAAGGAGTCTCACTTTTCCCTTTAGGAAGACAAATAATAAGAAAAGTGAGGGCGACTCAACCGCTCCAAAAGTCGGAAACTTTGAAGCCCTTTAACTTTTCGAAATGGGGGTCAGGGCCAAAAAAGAAATATATAGGGTTAGGCTATCGACCATGCTCTACACGATGGTATAATTTTTATAAAAAAATTTTTGGTCACAGTTCGGAATGTTCCCTTGTCAGCACTTTTAGAATTTTTAGAGGTATTGAATAGTGCTGTTCTGGAGAAGAAAAAACCCGGGAAACGGGAGTCGAGTCGGGAAATGACCTCGGGAGTCGGAAGCCAAAAACTCGGGAAATTTTCCCGACTGGGAGACGAGATACCCAAACATCACTAGTAATGAATTTCAAATTGGTTACGTCTTTTTAACGTTACGTCTATTACGTCTTTTTAAAAATTTTAAAGAACAATATAAAAGACCATAGATAATGAAATAGTAACAGGAGTTTCATGCCAATGATAAGACAAAACTATACTTTTTAGAAATTCATCTTTTAAAAATAATTACCACAACAAATTTTTGTTTAACAGTTTGAGGCAAAACTTCTCTCCCTCCAATTGATATCATAAAATAATTTGGTAGTAAAATCCTTCCTGCATATTCCTCAACAATTCCATCAAATGTTGCAGAAAACATTAAAGTTCTATGTTTTTGTTCATTCTAAAAATATTTTTCTTTTAATTTAAAAAATATTTTCTTTAAACCTTTGATGCTATTTCTTGTATTTTTAAAATATCTCTAAAGAAAATTTCATCTTTTAATAATTTATCTGCTTCATCTAACACCAAAAAATTTAATCCAGTCAATTTTACCTTTAATTTTAAATAAAATTTAGTTAAAAATATTTAAAACCTTCTCTTCCGATATAAATTGCATAATTCTCCCCATTGTACTCACAAAAATATCAAAACCATTACGCATTTCTTCCAATGATTCAGATATTCTAATTTCTCCATATGAACAAACTACTTTTAGACAAGTACCTAAATTAATTTTTAAAAATTATATTTTATAAAATGACATAAAAAAATTCACATTTTTATGTCTAAAATCCTTCTAAAATTCTCAAGGCCTTCTAAAATTGCCAAAATTTGACCCCGTGCCCCCGAAAAAATTCTGGTTACGGGCCTGGTTAAAACTACAATTTTATAATTTCGAATGTCTCACCACGAGAAAAAACTTTTGCCGTGTCCCCAAGCTGTTGTGTTAATTCTCTAGTCGGAGCAATAATTATTGCCTAAAAACAAATTTAAATAGAAAAATTTAAAAAATACACATTTGGTTCGTATAAAGGACATTCATTAATATTCATCTTTTGTTTTCTTCTATGAAGTAAATGAATAATTGGAAATAGAAAAGCGCCAGTTTTGCCAGTTCCTGTTTGTGCTCTTGCTATTAAATCATAACCTAGTGAAGAATAATAATAATTTTATTAAAAATTTTAAAACAAATTTGGCTTATTTCATAAAAAATCCTAATCATTTAATGTACTCAAAATATATTAGTTAAATTTTTAAAATCGAAACCTCTCTTTTTCTCAATAATAGGAATAACAGAACGTTGTACAAGTGTGGGCTTTGAATATCCTTTCTCTAATAAATTATTTTTCAAAGGTTCAACAAAATGAGTGAAATCCCTACAAAAATGGTACTTGTTAAACGTATTCAAACTAGTAACAAGAAAGTTAGTTGTAGGGTTGTTCCACGACGGGGGGCATAGGAAAAGTTTGACGGGGAGGAGCGCCACGAAGGGGGGGGGGTTTTCAAAAATGTCCCAAATTCCCGGACTTTCGGAGACGGGGAACAACACTAGTAGTTGCTTACCAAATAGGTGGGGAGTTATTTTTAAAGTTAATTTGATAAAAAATAATTCCAATGTTACAAAATCATCAATTATTAAATTCAACCCTAACACTAAATGTCTTGGAATATGGGAACAGACAAGAAAATAATAAAAAAAATTCTAAACAAATTTCTAAAAATACCTAATTTTTGGGAAAGTCCCATCACCGCCTTTTAAACCAATCCTACTTTCGTCAGCATTCATTTGTTCAAAAGCTGGTCCAGCGGGAACATTTCCTGCATTCTAAAAAATTAAATAATTTCAAAATTCTCAAACTTCATTGAAAAGTTCTTCTTGTGTCTTTTTTGGGGCTTTGTATTTATGTTGACTAACTGAAGAAATAATAAATTAATTTTTTAAAAAATATTTTCGTTTAAATGACTAAAATGACCAACCTTTATTCCGGTAAATTGCATTTTTAAGAGCAGTTGATGTATAAGACTTTTTAGGTAACTTTTCAGTAGTTGTAGAATCGCCTTCAATACCTTCAAACTTGAAAAAAAGATTTTAAATTTCTTTTAGAAAATTAAAAAACTACAATATTCGGAGATTTTGGAAGAGGTTGTCCAACACAATTATTAAAGCCGTTAACGTGAACTATTGGAGTTTCGTCATCTAATGTTCTAAAATAACGATCTTCTAATTGTTGAGAAAAACAAGCGGCACCCTCATCCATTTTTTTCTAAAAAATTAAAAATAAACTAGGAAGTTCTTTTTTAAGACTAGTTTTTCTTCTTTAAAAATCACACCAAAATTAAAAAATAATTTTTAGAAGAAAAATTAATTAGTTTTAAAAAAGAAAAAATTTAAAAATTAAACATAATTAATACATATATTAATTGAATTAAAAAATAACAATTGAAAAATCATATCCACAGCTTTTAAAAAATTTATTCAAGTAAAAAAGAAAGATAAGTAAATTGAAATAAATTTAATATAAAAATATGTATAGCAGGGAACGCGCCGACAGAAAATCAAATTCCCGATTTTCGGGAATCGTAAATTCCCGAAAATTTCGTATTACGATTTTCGTGAATCGGGTCGGCGCGATCCCTGATGTATAGTTTATTTTGGGCAATTTTATAAAAAAATTTAAATTAAAAAAATTTTTTAAAGTGAATCAAGCCTTATATTATTTTCGATTTATTCGTCCTCTTCAAAAATTCCGGAAGCTTTCCAAGCAATCCCAAACTCCATTAGACCAACGATCCCAGCCAAAATTTCGGGTTGATGTGCTCTGATAAAGTCACGCAAGCCTTTAATAAAATTCCAAACAAAAGAAGCAATACGTCCAGCAATAGGGGCAATTAACTTTAAAATATTTTTTTGAAAATTTTAAAAAATTTTATTTTAAAAATACCGGCCAATAAAGATAACACAAAAATGCAAAAATAGCAGCAATTGCAGCAATACCAGCTATTTTTACGAACTTTTTCAATTCTTCCCAATGTTTGTCGTCTTCTTCTGATTGATCGTCAATTGTAGTTATGAGATTCTGAAAAAATTTTTTTCGTATAGGAATGAAAGGAAATATAAATATTTTCTCTCTTACTTAGAAAAAAAGTTAAGAAATAATGGCTCTTGTCCAGTTTATGCGTCCCATGAAAGTATATGCGTCCCATCAACAAAAAATGGATATTTCTTGGTGTTGCAAAGTAGGGGTATGGTTCCAAAGCATTTCTTCATGTTCGGGATCTACGTCCACTGGGTCTGGGACCGTTCCTTATTTTATCCTTCGAAATTTCTGAAAGTTATAGCCAATTTTTAAAAATTTCAGAAAAACGATTTTAACTTTCAGAAATTTCGAAGGATAAAATAAGGAACGGTCCCAGACCCAGTGGACGTAGATCCCGAACATGAAGAAATGCTTTGGAACCATACCCCTACTTTGCAACACCAAGAAATATTCAATTTTATGTTGATGGGACGCATATACTTTCATTGGACGCATAAACTGGACAAGAGCCGAAATAATTTAAAAAAAATCTAAATAAAATTATTTAAAAAAATATACCAAAAGACAAGCATGTAATTGTTCTCGCTGCTCATCAGGCGAAAGAATGACAACAGAAGATGAAGATTCACAACAGTTATTTTGTTTGTATATCCGGACATAATAGCTAAGAGCAATATTAAGTGCCTAAACAAATTTAATTTATTGAAAATAACGAAGAATACTTAGAAAATTTGAAGCAAAAAATTGTTAAAAATCAGAGGATTTTAAGAAAATATTTTTAAATTAAAATTTCACCTCATTTCTAATATTTTCGGCTGGAAGATTCAAAACTGGATTGTCAAATCTTGGTGAAATTATATTTTCAGAATTGTTGTGTGCCCGACAAAGTGGACATTCTTTCTTAATTTGAATTGCTTGAAAAATACATTTTTGATGAAATGAATGACCACAATTACGAAGAACGGCCATTTCCGTTGTTCGGAAATTTTCTAGGCAAATACTGCAATAACCGATATTCATATTTTTTTAATCTCTAAAATAATTTCTTGCAAAAAAAAAATAAAAATATTAGAAAAATAAAAAATCAGCTGTGAAAAACATTTTGCCAATTTTCTGCCAAAACTTTGAAATTAAAAAATAAGTTTATGAAAGGAAGACTAGAGATTCGGCAAAATCACATTTCCGGGATCCCGTAACGGTATTGAGATTGAAAAGTTCGAACGGGCGGGATCCCGCAGGGTTAATCCTGTTCGTCGCTAAATACAGGGGATTTCGGGACGTGATCCCGTAAAATCCCGCCCGGGATACCTCCCGTGTCGATCTCTAAGGAAGACCCCATTTGTAACGGGACAATTTGCACATTAAAGTGTGGTTAATGCGTTTGAGTTAAGTTTTAGGGGGGGGGGGTTGGAATTTTTAGTTACTGAATGTTCAAATTCAACTCCACCAAAAAATTGGCGCCTTATGTAAATAAAGGAGCTATTTGGATTTTTCATTCTATATTGACCAACTTTAACTAAATTTTAATTGCCCACCGTGCAATTATGAGCCTATTAGATAGAGCCCGAAATTTTGTAAACATTGGGATAAAAAAACTATATGTAAATTGAGGAGTCGACAGGAAACGAGAGAGAGAGAGAGTTTTGAGACTTAAATGAGATTTGAGATTTTAATTTGAATTTTGATTATGATCAGTAGAGTCCGACATTTTAGGTCCGAAAAAGTGAGGAATAGGTTCCTATTTTAGGTTTTTAAAATAGCAAAATAGGTGAGCTCGTTGAGCCGGTGAGCTCGTTGAGCTCTGGTGAGCTCGTTGAGCCGATCTTTTCATGAATTACCCCACAAAGAAAGCACGCTAAGCTGTCAACCAATCAAAGGAAATATAGGCAAAGATTTACCTCAAATTCATGTTTAAGTGTAATTTTTTGAATGAATCTTTAATATTTATCTTCATTTCAAACAAAAAATTAACAGAAAATTGACAAAATTTACAGAAAATAGTCTAATTTTGATAAAAATCGTCAAAAAACCTAAAATAGGTCCAAAAAATGTCAAAATAGGTTCAAATAGGTTTTAGGTCCAAAAAAGCCAAAATAGGTTTTTTAGGCTCAAATAGGTCCAATGTAGGAGCATGGTACCGTGCCAAATAAGTGTTTTTTGAGCTTTACTCAACATTACAAGGTTGCAAAAAAAATAGGTCGGAACCTAAAATGTCGGACTCTAATGATCAGTGGTTGGAATTTGAAAATTTCTGTACTCCTTCCCACTCGTACAGGTCTTATTTTTCTCTCGTACTCGTACACAGGTACGATTACGAATTTTGGTACGAGTTTCCAACTACTGATTATGATATAGAGACATAAAGTTATTATCTTATTTAAACTGTTTTTAAAATTATTTAATTGAATATTTAATTTTGTTACAAAATCAAAAATATATTCCCCCTTGTTATAGTAACAATTTTTAGTAATAATTAACTCTAGAATATAACACTCTTATAATCTTTAGTGTATAATAATATTTAATAAGCTTTTATCAGAGGTGGATCGGAATTGCGATTTCCGAGTTCCGACTTTTGAGCCATTTCCGATTTCCGACACCTTCTTCATTTCCGACCACCTCTGGCTTTTATAACAAGGGTCGTTCGAAGACTCTATTTGGGTTATACATATGTATCTTTGTTATACATACATATACAATGAATAAACTTAATAAAACTTTTAAAATATAAAGTTTAAAAATGAGTGGCGCTTGTTTTTGTAAACGTATTTTGAATGTGCCATTAGCCCTTATGGAATGCTGCTATACCGTTGCGCATAAAGAATGTCTCCTAAAATCTATAAAAAGTTGTAAGCGTTGCCCTTGCAAGGAATGTTTAAAGCCGGCTAAAAAAGAAAATGTTTTACCGTTAACTTTAACTGCACCAGAAATTAATTCTCAGAAAAAGGTTCAGTGTGCTTTTAATGTAAAGAATTTGTTGATGTTTAAAATTAAAATAATTTTTAAGGATTTTTTAACTGGAAAGCCTTCAAATAATGATGGAGATGGGGATGGGGACGTGGATACGTTTAGAGAATCAAAATTTCAGTGGATTATGCGCTTTTTGAAAAGCAACAAAGTTTCAATTATTGTTTTGGCAGTTGCTTTAGGTAATTTAAATTTTTTGGAATGAATTTTGATAATTCTAAAATTAGTCTTTGAATTTAAATACTAGGATTATTAACTATCGGTTATTAACCTGGGCCTCAGGTTTTCGGTTTTGAGTTCTAGACAAATAACTATTTTATTTTGGAGGGATTTTTAATAATATCACTAATCTTCAGAAGTTTTCGGTTGGATTTTTAAATTTGGAAAAATCGGTTAATTTTTGGTAAAATATTCTATATCACAATTTTCGGGTTTAAAACCGGTCGTAACAACCCTTTTAAATACCGTCAAATTTAAATCTCATTTTTAAATTCAGTGTGCTACTTGGGAAAAAGATATGGCTAAGTAATACCCAAAATTAAAATCTTTTTAAAAATAATTTTTCAGTACTATTTAAAATTAAGGTCCAACTATAAAATTTCATTAATTATCCAAAAATCTGAAATAATTTCAAAAATATTTTTATTTAATTTTTAAATTTATTTTTCCAGTATTTATTTGTGTATTATTCTGGGAGTTTGGCGTGTGGACTTCAATTTTTGTATTCATTCGTGAGGCGTTTATTTTATTGAAATCAAAAGCTCCAGAGCTGGGAGCCGCAGCTTTCGCGATTATAAAAACTTTCTTCTGCAAGAAGAAAATTGAATTTTAAATAAAAGGAAGTTTAATATAAATTAATGGAAAAAATAAGAATAAATTTAATATTTACAACAATATTATACTAAATTATTAATTTTTATTTAAATATGTAATTTTCTTATTTTTTGCACTAAATAAATTTTGGAATTTTTAAACACTTACAATTTGTTAATTATACGCACCCCCTATTTTTTTGAATTTTTCAAACTTAATTGGAATGTAGCTTTTAATTTGTGTATTAAATGTATGTATAGTATGTATGTAAAAAGCCATTTTTTCAAATATTTGGTGTTAACTAATTATACGAACCCCTTTTAAAATTTTTATTTATCAATCGAAAAATTAACAATTCTTTGAATCTATGTATCTATAAATATAGATAGGTAATACAAAAGAAACTAGGTTCTAATGAACTATTATCATTGGGATCTCAAATGTGAAAATCAACGGAGAACAAGTGAAAAATATTTTCGACCTTATAGATTGTATTAAATTTCTATTTTATGCGTTTCTGAAAGCCCTTCAAATCTGCTATTAGACTGAGTTTTACATAGGAGGGAATCCGTGCTAAATTATTATCATATATTTAACGACTAACAAAAATGACAAGAAATACTTCAACAATATACATACAATATTAATACAAGATATGCAAGAATTATAGAGAAAAGCATCATTCATCTTTCACTCCTTTCAGTCATCATCTTCACTATCAAAAGATGGTGATGACTTTGTCACACTATGTTGAGTAAATATGTTGCGGTCAAGACTGTTTAGCGTCTGAAAAAGAATTTAAAATTACTAAAAACTTTTCTACCAACAAAATTCACCTCATATTGATATCCCTCAGCCATACCCTCCTTCTTGCCAAACTTATCCTCTTTCAGTTTTGGCTTGGATTTATCCTTCTTACTACTGCTTTTCTTATGATGGTGATGATGTTTTTTCTTATCTTTGTGACCCGTCTTGTGATGCTTCTTTGCATGCTCCTTTGAGGGCTTCCTCTTCTTCTTATTTTTGTCCACAGTCTTCTCTTCACTCTTCGTCCGGTCAACGCTCGACTCTCCCTCTGTCTCTTCGCTTTCACCCGTTTCTGTATCGAGACTGGGCTTCGATCTTGTCCTCTCAAGACTGGGCTTTGACTTTGTCCTATCGAGAGTAGGCTTTGATTTTGTTTTGTCGAGACTGGGCTTCGACTTTGTTATCTTTTTAGCCTGAAAGAGAATAAAAATTTATTTTGAGAACTTGAGAATTTATGTACCTTCGCTTTCTTCATCCCCACCTTGGCAGTCTTGAATATATTCACATCCAGCTTTCCAAGAGTTTGATATTCAGCTCCATCAGCAACTCCTTTCTGTTTAGGCGACTCATCAACCATCTTTGGAGGACCCAGTTTTGGCGTTAACTTTGGAAGGTCTCGAACAAAAATATTTCTATCCAACTTGTCCAATGTCATATAGCCACAACCATCTGCCATTCCCTCGTCGTGTTTGTCGTTCTTCATTTTTGGAAGGCCTACCGCCGTTTTTACCAATTGTTTTTTCCTTTCTTCTTTTCGCTCGTCAATCATTTCTGGCCCTTTAATTGACTTGCTTTTTGGTCCTTCCTTCTTTGATGACTCCTCACTTGGCTTTTTGACAACCTTCTTAACACCTTGCTGTTGTCCAACCGTTTGTTGTTGTGGTGATGGAGACTCCGTTGCAGCAGGAGCAGGCTGTGGTCGAACCAAACCCTTTAAAATAAATACATTGGATATTAAAAAAATTGTCCAATGTCACCTTTCGTTTCTTCTTTTTGCAGCAACATTGCATAGGCAGAAACGTTCCAAAAAGCATCAGAAAGCTAAGAGCAATTGTAAGAAGCATTGCATCGGTCGAGAAAGCTACGAGTGCCGCGAATGCCGTGCCCAATCCCTGCGAAGACATGCGTGAAGAATTGAAGAGTGCTTTGTTAGTCCTAACTAGATCTTGTTTGAGGGAATGTATTTAGACTTATATAGGCAATCCGAATCTCTCGAGATATTTCTCTATAAAAGTTTCCAACTTTTCCCTATCATCTACACATTCAACTCACCCCAAGTTTGTCAAAACACACTTCTACTCGTTAAAGGCAACATGTGGACATGGATCTACTTCATTCTTTTTAGTCTACTCGAAATTCTTCTGTATCTATTCATTCTGGCTCTAGTGTTGCTATATATCTCAATTGTGCTGTTTGCCTTCGTCTGCGGATATGTGAGATATAATAATGTTTTCTTATTAAATTTAAACTCTTTTAAGTTGTGCAATATTGCTTTTCGAAGGGATCACGGCATCGAATTCTTTGTTGATGCTGTTGTGATTGGCAATGTGTGCTATGAATATTGGACGGATAAACACTACAAAATTAAAAGAACCCGTAAAGTGGCCGTAAAGAATAAGTGAAGGATAAGAAGTAAAAGACATTTAAATATACTGTAGATTTGTACATATCGTTAAATGTATGATAAAATTTTAAAAATGAAGAGTTTTCTTTAAAATTGAGAAAAAACGTGTTTCAAAAATGATTTGGGAAATAAACATTTTTAGTATAAATTACATATATGAACAATTTTGTGTATGTACAGTTAACATTCTCAAACTCTACATTTCTTGTATTTTCTTGTATTCTTCTTCAAAGTGATTTTGATAAATAATTAAAAGTTTTCCATCATTTCCACTTAAAATTAAATTAAAAATATTTTTATATTTATACAAATAATTAACTTACCTAAAAATATTTTTTAATTTCATGTCAACATTCTTTAAACTTTTTTCCAATTTTTCTTTATTTATTTCGATATTCAGCTTCTAAAATTTTTAAATTAGAGTTTATTTACAAAATAAAAGTAAATTTAATTAAATTAATTTAAAGTCGTTAGAAAAGTAGTAAAAAAGTGGAAAACTTGAAGAGATATTTTAAATAAATACACAACCAATCCCAAGGATTGAAACTTTGAACGGCTATAACTCGGCCCAAACTAATTTTGCAAAAACGAATACTAAGTCAAGGGTCCTCTATCGAATGGTACCAAAAAATATATCAAATTCGCACTGACAGTAAACGATGTTCCCTTGTAAGGATTATTAAAATTCATTTACACTTTTTTAAATTTTTGAATAAAAATAATCCTAATAATTATCTTGGATAATTATTAGGTCCCGGAAGGGGTGCCCTCTCTCTTAATCGAGAGAGGGCACCGAAGAACTTTAATATTTAATTTCCAATTTTTAAAAAACATTCCTATTTACCTCATTTATTTCCTGTATATCACTTTCACTCAATTCTGAACATATTTTAAAAATTATCCAATAAATTTCCCAAGCAAATAAATTTGTTTTTTGTTCATCATTTAATTCTTCTTCTTCTTCTTCTTTTCCTTTAAAATCAATTTTTTCAACAATTTGTTTAAAAATTAATTCTGTAAAAATATTTTCTTTTTGTTTTTCTTCATTTCCTTTCAAATTTTTTTCTAAATTTATAGCTTCAATAAATTTTTTTCTATTTTCTTTTCCCAACATTTCTTCAATAAATTTATTTGTATTCATATTAAAAATATTTTCCTCAATTTCCCAATTAATTTTAAAAAGACCCAAATCCTCAAAAAAATTTATAATAATTTGTAGCTTTTCTTCACTCATTTGTTTGGCTATAAAATAATTAAATTATATACAGGAGAATCTCGATATATTTATTGGTACTTTATGGATATATCACCCCCCCCCCTATTTTGAGTCTCATCAGAGTCTTCCTTAATATGTAATAATGGGCAGCAGTGCTGGGTATTTGCCATTTGTTGGCTCCGGCTCCGGGCTCCGGGGTTTGAAAATCTTGGCTCCGGCTCCGGGCTCCGGGGTTTGAAAATCTTGGCTCCGGCTCCGGGCTCCGGGGTTTCAAAATCTTGGCTCCGGGCTCCGACCTTTTAAAATCTTGGCTCCGGCTCCGCCGGAGCCGGCTCCGGAGCCGGGCTCCGGAGCTAGCTCCCGGAGCCATACCCAGCACTGATGGGCAGCCTTTTTCCTACCCCAATTTTTCTCCATTTCCCTGTGGTAAATTTTAATGAGAGGCATTATTAAGGAAAAGATTAATTTTTCAATCAGTCAAATCTACCACAGGGAAATGGAGAGAAATTGGGGTAAGAAAAAGGCTGACCATTATTACATATTAAGGAAGATTCTGAGACTCAAAATAGGGGGTGGGGGTGATATATCCATAAAGTACCTATTTATTAAATTATAAGCAGTGCTGGGTATTTGCCATTTGTTGGCTCCGGCTCCGGAGCCGGCGATTTTCGGAGCCGTTCCATGTTGGCTCCGGGCTTCGGGTGGAAAATCAATGAATTATTTTTCGGTGAGTGATTTGGTTAGATAAAGGGGGATATCGAATGATATAAGAGGATTAAGAGGGTTATTAATGGATTAAACGGGATTTGGGTGGATTATCGTGTTATTTAGGTGGATCAATGGCGATATCGGGGGGATTAAGGAGATTTAGATCCAAAAATTTTCCTTTTTTGCGCCGCAGGCGAAAATTTTGAAAAAAGAGACTAAAATTAATCAATTTAAAAAATTTATGAAGCTTTATTTAATAAAAAATGCTTATTATAATTTATTTTCCAAATTAAAACAAACCTTCTCTGCCTTCAAATTCAAATTTTTTCTGATTTTTCTCAGAGACTTTATTTACTTCTCTGCCTTCAAATTCAAATTTTTTCTGATTTTTCTCAGAGACTTTATTTACATTTTTGTCAATTTTATATTGAGATGAAGTAATAAAACGAGTTCCTAAAATTAAAAAAAAGTTTTTTGTTCCTAGTTAAATTCTCAGTAAAAATCTATATATTTCCTAAATTTTTCTCGAAGAACCTAAAATTTTCTTCTAATATTTTTTTAAAATATTATTATTTATTATCTAACTTTTTGTGTTTCTTTTTTCGTTTAAATTTATATGACTTTTATCAGATATCTTTATAGGTTTATCCTCAATTACTTCTTTTAGTTTATTTGTATTTTCTTTTTTTATATTTTCAATTTCTTCGGTTTCAACATTTTTAATTGGAATATTTACTTGGGATGTTGTTGATGACTTTAAATTAATTTTTAATTTTATTGGGGTGAAAATGAATTTTAATTAAACGACGAAATTTTTGAAAAAGGCCAATCTAATATAAAATTATAAATACCGATGCATTGCTTGAATCCGATAATTGGCATTCTTTCTGTTTTTTCTTTCCTTTATCTTTTTTTAATTATTTGGTAATATCCGATTATCTCCCTCGCATTTCCTTCTCTTTCATTCTTCCTTCTCATACAAAAACAAATCATTTAAAACTATGGTGCCATTTGTACTTCTATATCCTAATCTGTCATTCAATGATCTATATCTTAGCTCAAGAATAACGAATTCGACTAATTAAGATGTCATCGAATCACCTAAAAGAGCTTATTCGAATGATATAAACTTCCCCCATATCAAACATATAGCCTTTAAATCAGATGATTTTTGGTCCTAAAAATTTTGCCAAAACTTTGGGAACAAATATTCAAATTAATTTCTAAAATTTAGAGAATATTTCTTTATCAAAAATTTTCCTAGAGTGTTGGGAATCAAATAAAAAAAGAATTATCAATTTTCATTGAAATTGAAGAAAGTTATGCCAAAAACAAAAGGGGCGGAAAAGTTGCCGCACCCTGTAAATTAATTTTTAAAAATGCCCCGTCGTTTTGGAAGTAGTAAGTGAGTAAAGAGAAGAAAATGCGTTTAGAAATAATCGGATATTTAGTACCAATTATTTCCAATAATTCAATCTTCTTATAATCTGTCAACATAACAATATCTTCATCTTAAAAATAAAGCACTAATATTTTTTATTAATTCTTTTACCTTCCGCCCTTTTAATTTTTTCAATTAAAAGCTTAATTTCAGGGTCATTATTGTTTTTATCATTAAATATTTCTTTTAACTTATTTACGTGTATTTCATTTAATTTTTCTTTTCCACTCAATTTTAAAGGAATTTTTTTATTAATACATTCAAAAGCTAAATCAGTCTTTTCTTCATTTGTTAAAGTTTTATTTTGTTTTTTATTCTTTTTATTTTTCTTTGTCAAATCTTCTAAACATTCTTTTGTATAATATAAAAATCCAATAGTTTTTGACTCGAATGATAATTTTGCAAATGTTTTAATATCAAAAAACCATTTCTAAATTTTATAATCTTCATTATTTAAAGTTTAGTTCTATAATTGTTATACTCTCTCTATTCTCAGCTTAATTAGTATATTAACAAAGTTTGCCAGTTAGTTGGAAATCCTAGGATATCCGGATCCTATATCCGAACCGAAAATTTCCGGATATCCGGTCTTTTTCGGATCCAGATCCGACAAACTTAATATTAACCCAAAATTTAGATAAAAATCTTACAACGATTATACCAGTTGGAATTTTTAAAAAAGAAATTTCTACAAAACAAAAATAAATATATTAACAGAATAGACTAACAAGATTTACTTCATCACGAACGTAGAATATCTATAGGATAAGTATATATAGGTTAAGACGAATATAGTGTAGTGTACCGGTGGTAAATGTTCGGGATGTGACCTATGCCTTTCGATTCGTTTCGCGAGCTGAATCGAATGCTACCACTCCCACTTTAGGAAATGATTCTGGATCGCGTTATAGGTTCCGAAAAAGTGAAGCACCATAGGAGGAGGGGAGATTTTTGGTACACGCTAAAAAGCATTTCCTAAAGTAGGTTCGCAGTGAAGCGTGTAGCTTGTTTCGCAGTGAAGCATAAAGTCAGATTTCGTTGATTTTGGTGTCACCTGACTTAGCTCGTCAAGCTCTTTCGAATGAGCTTGTATTTGCATATTTAAATTTTCAACCCTAAATTGAGCTTACTCCCTCCCTCTTATGGTTTTTCAATTTTGGAACCTACACTCCGCCACATAATTATATGAACACCCCTAAATTTCCATTTTTTCCTTCTGTAGTAGGAAGACTACAGAAGGAAAATTTTTTTTCCTTCTGTATTTTTTTTCCTTCTGTTTTTTTTCCTTCTGTTTTTTTCCTTCTTTTTTCCTTCCTTTTCCTTCTGTCGCCTTAGAAAAAAGAAAAGCTGAAAATGGTTTCAGGGAAAATTTTTTTTGAAATTTTTCAATTTTTCGACCGCCACATAATTATATGAACACTTTGGATTTTCGTATTTCTAATGGTAGCAAAAATCTATAAAAATTCCAATAATCTTATTTATCAATACTAAGAATAAATAAAAAAGAACTAAGCCCATATCTGCTTTAAGTGTCGAGATCTTGAACCACGAAAATCAACGCAAAACAGGGGTAAGCAGCTTCGGAAAATTTTTTCGACCCCTTATCGATTATTTTAAATTTTTATTTTAGGCT